GCAGCACATCTAAAAGGAGTAAGCTGCTCCACCCTGTACCAGGAGCCACAGCTAGGAATACTCTGCAGCTGAGGGGCAGCTAGCTGAACGTGGAGCTGGTCCCACTGCTGACATTCCCCTGCATTCCCCTGCATTGTGCAGGCAGTGGTAAAACCACTTTTTCTGGAACAAGCTGCTAAAAAATGTAATGAAACAGAGTGAAACTGATGCTGATTTGGAGGTAAGGCTTGAGGAGAAACTGATCAGGTTTTTATTTTTTGAAGAATCATAGGCACACCATTTGAAGCTGTAGCCGGTGCACTTCTCACAGGTTTCTTTAACACTGTCTATGCAGAGGAGCCTAATTAGTATGTGATGCTGTGTGGACCCTCTTATGGGGATTTGGTATCTCTGTGTTTCTTTGCTGCCTTTTCTTGTTTGACTTGCAGTAAAAGGCCAAATAACATATCATCTGCAGGGGTGTAGTCTGTGGCCAGCTGCCCACAGCAATACTGCTCCATCTTTCTGCCACAGGGCACAGCCTTGGCGACCCAGCTGGGGATGGGCTTAGAAGCTGATGTGGGTTTGAAGTGCAGTTCTTGGTTCCCTGGGCAGCTCTGTGCTGATGTGGCCACAAGAATGGGCTGGTGTGCCATTGTGCATCCCAAACACATCCTCAGCAGCCAGCAGGGTGTGTCCAGGAGCTGAGGTGCATGGTGCATTGCTGCAAATTTTAAGCAGTATGGTTGGAGGTTTTGTTTCAGTTCTTGTTGTGCTCAGCTAAATGTGTCCATCTATGCTACCAAGGACATGTCTGTCTTTCTGCTACATGTGAAAAAAAAGGTTCTGTCATGTTGCTGTCAAATTAGAGCTAAAGATTGATGTCCTTCTGGGATGGCTGTTGTTCCCGGGGCAATGCTTCCAGATGCCATTTCTGTGTCTGTTGCCTGGACAGAACATTTGTGAAAATATTTAAAAGACTTTGGATTTGAAAATACATAAATTCTGCTCTGACCTTATGGTGAATCTTTCATTTCCCACAAAATTCCAGATTCAAAATATGATTTATCCCCTTGGCTCTCTGCTTCAAGCCTGAAAACCAACTGAAAGCATAGAAATCATTGAAGAGCTTCAAAGACTGCAAGTAAAATCCTGGTAACTGCCCCATCATAGGATGTTATTAATGACCCAAGAAGAGATGTTCAGGGCTGCAGTGGCCATTTGAGGTGAGAGTTCCTACCTGGAGCTGTTGCAGGCTCTTAATTATCATGTTGTGTAATGATGAAATGGGCTTCAAGAAAGACTGGCTGCCTTGTAGTTATTTGCAGCCCCAGGATGGGGTCCTGCCTGGTAAGAAGCAGTGGAATTGTCTCTACAGGCTGTGAGATGGAAGTGACCTGGTTGACACTGAGTGCTGTGAAGGGTAGGAGTGTTGCAAGGACCAGTGCAACTGGAAAGGGCAGGGCTGTGCTCCTGCTTGGCTCTTGCAGTGACTGCTCCCATCTGGCTCTGCAATATGACCTGCCCAGTTCCTGTCCTGCAAGGCAGTCTCATTGCTGGCACAAAGTATGGTGGAAGTTCTACTGAAATCCTTAGGTTTTGTTTAAAACAAACAAAAACACAAACACCCACTGCCACCCCCCTCACCTTGCTGCATTACTGCTGCCCTCATTTATTGCAGCATTCGTGTTCTGGATTGATTATTCATGCTGAGTTTGGCAGGCTGGCTGCTTCTGCTGGAAGGGGTTCTATTTGGAGTGTGACCTTGTGTTCACTAGCAGGTGAACTGTTTCAAGCTGTCCTTGAGCTACCCTGGCACGTGGGAGCTGGCTGAAAGGGCTGGTCATTTGGTGTTGCTCATCAGCATGTGGGCAAGTTGCTCTCCAGCACAGGTCCACACACCAGACTCCACAAGTGAGCAGTACTGGCTGTATTCACAAGACTGTCAGGTTTCCAAGCACAATGGATTGGAGGGAAAGAATAAAACAGTGAAAACTTTTTCTCCCCTTTCTTCATTCTCCTAGTCTTATTTCTTCCCAGGAACTGTTGCCATTGTTTATCCTAACACAGCAAAATCCTTTTGGAGCTGAATTATAGCTGAACACACTGCAAGCACAGCAAATGATTTTCTGCTTCAGTCTCAGCAGTGCCTTGAACTTGAACCAGGTTATTTCTGCTGCTTACAGAAACTGCATTTCAAGGTCACTGGCAAAAATTATTCCGCTGAAGTTTGGCTGGTTGGTTTAGCTTTTTGAGAGACAGCAAGCAGCTCTGAGTAGGTGTATTCCTGTCCTGTAGTGAACAGTGACTGAGTGCCAAAAAAAACAAGAGAAAAAGCCCTGTGTGGATGCATTTGTGTTTCCTACAGCCAAGATATGACTGAGTTCTCAATACAGCCTTGCCTGGCTGGAGCCCATTTAAATGCAGCTTTGCTGAACTGGAGCCTATTTTAAAATCTCGAGCAGTGGTGCTGCCTGTTGCCTGGAAACCTCCTCCCAGCCTCAGGCACTTTCAGCCTAATCATAGCCATCGGCAGCCTTTATTTATTTCCCATCCAAAATGTCATTCCAGGCTTCTGGTTTGTGGTTTTGTTTGCTTGTTTTTGTTTATTATTTAAAATGAAAAGACATAAAGTGTAAAAGTCAAACTCGGTGATTTTCTGTGGGAACAGCTTGCTTGGCTGTCACCGCATTGCAGTGGTGGGAACTGGCATTTTAAGCTCTGTAAAGTGGTGGCTCAGAGGGACATGGGGAAGATGAGAAGTGGGGGCTGAGAGATTGGGCTGAGAGCCTGAGGAAGCCCCCTGAGCTCAACTGGTGCCTGTGATGGCTTCCTGCACCTTGTGACTGTCACTAAAGGACACAAAATGATTCACACTACTACTTTCAGTGTTAGAACAAAAACCTGTGACTTTATTTCTTAATTCCAGTATTTATAGATTCTTGACAATGGCCAGGGACCAGGGATTGGATAATTAAGTTACCACTTTCCCTAGCACACTGGTCATGCGAAATGTCCATCAAAAGACGTTTCTTAGAAGGAATGCATAAACATCTATGTTTATAGTTACTTTCCTGAGAAAGTGGCTACAACTATGAAAACAAGATGAGAAGGCTTCATTTTCAGGGTGACAGTGACAGCCTCTTCCTCAAGGGGAAAACCAGACCTAATCAACTGAGTCTTTTCCCAGCACACACGTCCCACGTTCCCCTTCCCAGTGTGCTTGTACCACCCCATGTGAGATCCACAGCTCAGCATCTGGCTGACTGGAGCAGCACAGATTCACTTTTAAAACACCCTGTATCCTGAGGTCTGAGTTGTAGCATCTCCTTGTGCTGACAGATGAATGGAAGAAAATTAAACCTGGAGATCTCCCTGTCTTGGGGGCTGTTTTTAGTTTTAATTCACCTAAACTCTGGCCATCTCAACACAGTAATTGCTGACATCAGTTACACATGGAAACTTTAAATGATTGCTCTTTCTATTAAGTTAGTGAGTGTGATTGATCCTGATTGGACAGAATAGGATGGATCACAGGAGCCCAGCTATGATTCAGTTGTGGTTTTGTCCAGGGAGTCCCTTGGCAGAGCATTGGGCTAAAATCATCTGAAAGTGGGTAAAAAATCCTAAGCAGGACAGCCAGAAGGTTTTTTTGTTATTGTTTGTGGAACAAACAATAACAAAATTTCAGCTGTTCACAAGTTGTTCTTGTGATTTAAATGGTTTATTTTACAAGGCTGAGAATATTTGTTCTACCAAAGGCAGAGCTAAAGGAGACTTTGACTCAAGATGCAGTTTAACGAAGGTTTGTGTTTTGTTTAGCAATCTTACTGCAGACACAGAGCAATACGCAATTGCACAGAGCAATTATTGCATCATTTATTTTCCTCTTGACTTCATTTAAGCTTGACAGGCACCTCAGGCTCGTCTCAGGGATGCTCTTGTCTCTCAGTCTTAATGCTGGGACATTAAGTTCCAATTGTCAGGAGCAGACAGAAGAACCAAAACCAAACCAAAGGCAGATGTTTTTTTCCATTCCCATCTTCTCTGTGTGCTGGTGATTGGGAAAAGCAATCAATTACCAAATTGTGACAGTGAATGAATCATGATTTATTCTCTGGAGTTTTATCTCCTTGCTTTTCTATGGGTGGGGAATAGTGCCTGAGGGGCACCAGAGATGGTGGTCTGGTCCCTGGATTCAGACATCATTGCTTAGTGGTGTAGAGAGGTGTGCATCTGTTGAAATTCCAAACTTTCCTGGTTTTAGCCACAAGAAAGAGAAATTATCCTTCTGTCAGCTCCTGTTTGCTGGACTTCATAGCTGCTTTCTGTATAGCACAGGTCACAGAGCTGCTGTCTCCTTGGATTTTGTTGTCTTAGTTCCTAAGCAAAGCCTCTACAGGTGATCAGCTTTTCTGGGGGAGGGAGGAAACAGACGGGAGAGCAAAGTGCACACGGGGGAGGCAGGAACAGGAACAGTAGAGGAATGGTGGAAAACTGTGCAGTCACAGATGGCAAAGCAAGAGGGTTCCTTGCCCTGCCTGTGCCACTGGCACCCCTAGAGCCTGAGTGAGCAAACCTCTCTGCTTGTTGCAATAGCAAAGAGGGAAAGACAAGTACTCGGGGAAAAATGCAGAGTCTGTCAAGCTGAATTCACTGCTGGAGGGTTTAAGAAAATAAAATACAAAAAAAGTCTAAGAGAAATGAATGCTAAAACACCATGATGGGTTTTCCCTTGCTAATCTCTCCCAGCTGGATGTAGTTGAAGCTCACAGGAGTGTTTTCTTTACTTTAGAGCCTGGTACCTTAGTTCTCCCAATTCCCCATGAAAATCAATATTTCACACCCTCTTTCCTGTTGTTGGTGGCTGTTGGGGGATTTGTGCTGTGGTGTGCCAAAATACAAGCTCTTGAGGGCACCATTGGGCTTTGCAGTGCCCAGGAGGGCGAGTGATCTTGGTCTCATCAATCTGATTTGCAATCTCAATGCAGTTTGCTAATCTGGCTTCTTCTCCCTGCCAGAATGAAGAGAAGAGGAACCTTTCCCTGGGGGGCCATGTGGGCTTCGACAGCCTCCCCGATCAGCTGGTCAGCAAGTCTGTCACACAAGGCTTCAGCTTCAACATCCTCTGTGTGGGTGAGCACGTCCTCTGGAAACAGGCATGGGGGGAGGTTGGGACCAGGATTTCTTGAATGTCCTGCTATGCCACAAGCCTTGTCAGTGGCTTAAACAAGTCAGAAATGCCGAGTTCTTAAAAAACACATTGAGTGAAACCAGGAGAATTTCTGTAATCAGTGGGGTATTGCTCATCATCTCTGCTCCAATAGTTTTACAGTAGTAGTGGGTCTAATGCTGGCCAAATGCCCATGCACCCACTAGAATTATTTATTCATTTTCTGTTGCAAGGTAGGATTAGGAGGAGAGCAAAGCAGGCTCAAACTTTAATGGGTATAAAGAAAACTTGATTAACAGAATTAAAAAAAAAAAAAAGAAAAGAAATCAGAATAAACCTTCAGAACACTTCTCGTCCCCACACACCCTCTTTTCTTTCCCACTGACAATGTAAAGAGACAAAACCTGGGACTTTCAGTCAGTTTACCACCTCTAAAATAAGTCTTTCTTCAGTTCTTTTAAAGAGGAGTCTCTCTTGCCATGCCATGGAGACCTCTCCACAAGAAAGAGTTCTCTAGTGGCTTCAATGTCACAGCGACTCAGCTGCCCAGGAAAGTAAAACCTGTTCACAATGTGAAAGTTCCTCCCATGAGTTACAGCTTTCCCACTGCTGTTTTCCTGGGCCATGTCAACTTTATGGGGTACTATTTTAAGTATGAGCTGCTCTAGCATGAAAGCAAAAGTTCTCTCCATCCATCTCTGGAAAACAGGTTTTCTTGTTCTTCTTCTATTCCTGGGCAAGGTTTTTCTTCTCTCTCTCATTTCTCTCTGTTTGAAGTTCTCACTGGATCACAGCCACTTCAGTATCATCTCACTTCAGCATGGGTGCCTCCATTCATGGCTGTGGTTACAGCACTACAAACCCCCAATGCATTCTATGAGTTACAGGGAAAAGAGTCTTATATATCAATTATATCTTCACCATAGCCTCACAAGAAAATTTCAGACCAAGACTAAGGCATCTCCTCGTTCTCCTTCCGTCTGGGATTTGACTTGTTCTTCACTGACCTTCATGTCCCATGTTGTTCTCTCTGTGTCTTCACTCTTCTTTTTTTTCTCACTTGAGAGAGGATTGATGTTTTCAAGTTTCATCTGTGCAGTGAAAGAATTAATATCTCCCCGGGCACGCTGATGTCCAAGTGATCTCTGCCGGACAGCGGCTGGAGCTGTTTACGGTGACCATGCTGTTGGGAGGCAGCTGGGATCTCAGCAGCCAGCCTAGGACTCAGCAGCAGCACACCACAAGCTGATGCCTTCCCTTCCCTTCCCCCTGCCCGGTGGTTTCTGGTGAAACTCAGCAGTGGCAGAATTTCAGCCGAGCTGCAGCTGGCCTGGCTGTGCTGGGGGAGTGGGGGAGCCCGGCCCGGCCGGGGCTGCAGCAGAGGCCGGGCCCGGCCCCGCCAGGCCCACGGGTCACGCTGTGGAGCGGGGCCTGCCCGGCCAGCGCCCAGGTACTGTTCAAAAGCCAGAAACAAGAGCCATTCCCGGGGTTGGTTCGGGTTTAAATGTGTTTTCCACAGATGTTTTAAGTTCTTTTAAGTGGTTTAACAGGTTGTCAATATTCAAACCAGCCAATTGATTTGTTCTGTCAGGTCCAAAGGAAGCTGCCAAGGTCATTACAGGGAACCACTTCCGTAACCGATGGATTTTCTCTTTTAGTAAAAACCAAGCTATGTTAAACCACAACAGAAGGATCAATGGAAGTCTGTATATAGTAAGATAAGTATTTCCATATGCAAACTGGGGTGGCTGGCATAAGTAGATTTTGCTGGATATGATTTCTAGGTAGATACAGTCAGATACACCATGGGCTGGTTTACATCTGAGTTACTTTAACTCTCACTGCACAGATGAAACTTCCAAAACATTGATCCTTTCTCAAGTGAGAGAAAAGGACAGAGTGAAGATACATAGAAAACAACATGAAGACACCAAGGTCAGTAAAGAAGGAGTCAAGTCCCAGATGGAAGGAGAATGAGGAAATGCCTTAGCATTGGGCTGAATGTTCTTTAGGTAAGGCCATGGAGATGAACTATGATACACTAGAATATCCCCTTTAATAAAAAGTGTGGGGGGATGAAGTGTTCAAACTGTAGACAGGAGCAGAGGCATTCATAATGAAGCAAAGCAGATGTTGAAGTAGCTGTCATCCCATGAGAAGCTTGAACAGAAAGAGAGGTATGAGAGTGAAGACCCTCTGCCCCTGGGGAGAGAAGAAGACCACCTCTATTCCCAGAGATGATCTCAGAGGTAGATGAAGAGAACCTTTCCTTTGGCCAATGGACTGACCCCCTTCTAGGCCAATCTGGAAAATACCAATCTTTTTTTATCGTTTTGTTATCAGGAACAGCACTTCAAAGGCTTTTGGCTCACAAACACCTTGTCAGCCAAATATTCTGGGATGGAGGTTTTTGTGATGCATCCCAGGTATCCTTCAATAGCTACTAAAATTGTCCACTCCACAGCTTCTCTAGTGCAAAATCCTAAGCAAGGTCGGGGTCATAGAAAGCAAAATAGTGTGGTTTGCTGTGCTGATGTGTTTTGTGTGATACTGGGAGACAAGACCCAAGTGCTCTATGTTGTTTGCATTAAGCATGGGAGGCCTTCAAGAAGGCAGACACCTGTATGACAATTACACATCTGTCCACAACCAATTTGTGGTGTCCTTCCACAGTGTAATTTGGTTCTCTAATTAATGTGCTTTGAAGTACCTGTGGCAAATTCATGCTGCAGTGAGCTGATGATGGTTTGTCCTCCCTAGGTGAGACGGGCATTGGGAAATCCACGCTGATGAACACCCTCTTCAACACCACATTTGAGACAGAGGAAGCCAGTCACTATGAGAGCGTGGTTCGCTTGCAACCGCGCACCTATGACCTGCAGGAGAGCAATGTCCATCTGAAGCTGACCATTGTGGATGCGGTTGGATTTGGGGATCAGATAAATAAAGACGAAAGGCAGGTCTTGTGCCATCTGCTCGGCATTTCTGGGCTTGCCTGGTGCTTAGACATCAACTGCCTGCTGTTCCTTTTGCAGCGCTGCAGAAGTGTGTGTGTGTCTGTTAAAGGAGTCACTGCCTGTAGTGGTGCTGGTTCTGGGGACAAAGGGTAGAGGAAAATGGGTGAACAGCCATAAAGAGAGGTCACAGGAGGTCTTTCCAGAAGGAATTGCTATCTTACAGGAGCATGAGCTGTTAACCAGCTCTCCTCAGAGCAGGGTCAGGAATTATCTGTTCTGAACTTGTCTCATTTCACTATACAGACATCTTGTTCAAGCCTCAGGTAAAGGCTTTCTGGGATTTCAGGGTGTCTCCTTGGTCTTGTTGCGTTGCTACACTAAGGTGCATGAGCCCTGAAATCTGGGAAAAGTTTGATATGGCGAAGTAGTCATCTTTCTGTGCTCCACTGTCCTTAGACTTTGCAGTGCAGCCTCAAGAATCTCCACAACCTTTGGTTTATAAGGTCTGTGTGTAAAAGCTAAATTGTAAAGCTAAAGTGTTTGAGTCTTAGAACTTGTTGATAAGTGATACCATGGGATCACGTCTAGGAGAATTCCTTCAGCCTTTAGATGGTTAAGATTTGTGCTCCAGTAGCTGGTTTGCTAATGGGATGGTTTTAGTTACAGGCCAATCGTAGAGTACATTGATACGCAGTTTGAAAACTATCTGCAAGAGGAGCTGAAAATCCGCCGGTCTCTCTTCAACTACCATGACACAAGGATTCATGTCTGCCTCTACTTCATCACTCCCACCGGGCATTCACTCAAGTCCTTGGACCTGGTGACAATGAAGAAGCTGGATAGCAAGGTAGGGGGTTGGAGACTATGGCCCCTCTTTCTGGAATGCTTCTGTAGGTACTGATTGTCATGTGGAAGGTTTTGTTCCTTCTATGCAAGTGCTGGACTCCTTCTTGCATAGCAGCTGAGCCACTTCTTAGGACTCTGGTAAAACTTTGTCTGGTCTGGTGGTTGCTGAGGTCCTGTGCTTGTTTTCTCACTTTCCTGAAGAATGTCAGGAAAAGCCCATTTTCCAGTTGGTTGTGTAAATCCCTGAGTGTCCCTCTACTGTAAGAATCTCACCCAGATTAGCTGATATTTATCAATGCTATCAGCTGCAGCTCTGTTGGGTTTTCAGGTGAGGATGCTTTACAGCTTTAGCAGTTAAATTGGGGAGTCCCCTTTGCTGCTGTGACCTGTCAGCAGGGACAGAGGGTTTGAGAGCCACCAAAACTGTAGTTGTCCTAAGGTGGTAGTCAGTGCTGAGGAGAAGCTTTGGCTGTGTGTGCTGGTGCACAGGGAATGTGTGAGCTGTCACTGCTGGCAGTGCCAAGTGATTTGGATAGAAGATCACAGTAACTTCTTAAAGTATAGATATGATGAGGAATTTTGAAGGTCATAGGAATCCTAAAAGTGGGTCAAGAGAGGGTCTACAGGGGTGGTTTCTTTGTGCATTTTCTTTGTGTTTCTACAGGGGGTTAATTAGAGAACCCCCCTTAGGGGGCAGGGTATTACCTAACCAATTACTTGCTTATATTCCTGCAGCTGGGAGCAAGTTTCTGACATAGTTTTGGGTGTTCCAGCTGGTTTCCAAGGAGCTGCAGGAGGCTTCAAAGGTCTCTTCTCTGGCCATTGTTCACGTGCAGCTCTGTTGGATTTTTCCTGGTGGGTTGAGTTCCCCTCATGCAGTCCCTGCTGCTTGCCCTCACCACCTAGGGCTCATGGCCTGCTTTTCCTTGGCCCCAGTCCAGAGCAAGCGCTGGCTTCTCATTGGAGTAGGCTGTTTGTAGCTTTAGTGGCTGTTACACTGACTTCATCAGGAATCCAAAAACTTTCCCTTAATAAACTTTTGTCTCTTGGTACTGTGCCAGCATTACATATTCCCAGAAATATTTTTGGAGGAAAGCTTTTGCACTATTCCCCTTGGTGCTGGTGGTCCCACAAAGCATTTCTCTCCTTCTCATTCCCTACTTTTCACATCTCCCTGTGGTTGCCTTTAATGTGGTCTTTTGGCGGTACCAAAATAAATTCTGTGCACAGATGAAAACTTTGTGCGCAGGCAAACTTTTTATATTTCCAAACTTCCACTTTAATAGCCTTCTCTGGAGTAATTTTATGCCTTGTTCACATTCCCCTTCTTGCCACAGCATGAGAACATTCTGGATTTCATGCTGTGGTGGCCTCACACAAGTGGGCACATGGAAATGAATAAGCAACTGGAGGCCATTGGTACTTTCTGGGCATCAGGGATTTATGTTGCATTTCTGCACCGGTATAATCCCAGCACCCATCAAGAGTGCTTTCCAGGCACTTCCTGAAGGTTTGTGCATGGCAGTGCTGTGCCCCTTTCCCACTACAAATGAGCCATTTGTGCTGGGGATTGGTGTGTGGGCAGAGTGAGGCAAGGTGTCAGCAAAGCCCAGGCAGTTCTGCCCTCTCCAGATGGGAGCAGAGGTGGCATGCACTGGCTGATGTCTGCTGCTGTGTGCTGAACCTGCTGCTCTTGGAGAGCTGTGTGTGGCCTTTGTTTTACAGCTCTCCAGTTGAAGAATGGAGCCTGTGGAGATGGAAGGTACACCAGAGGCAATGCTTTGCTCTGTGCTGGCTCAGCCTCTGGGGCTGGTTTAACAGGGAGTTTGTAGGACTGTGGCTCAGTTCTGCCTTTGCTTTAGCCCACGAGTGGCATGATGTGTGATCCTAGGCAGGCTTTTGATTGTCTATGACAATTTCAATAACCAGTCTTGCTTTTAGTGTAAAATTTGTGAGATCCGCTCTGGGTAAAGCTGTTTTGTAAACAGAATCTTCCATTGTACTGTAAGACAATATCTGTTTGGCTGAGCTCATGGCCAGCTGTTATCTGGGGTATTTAGTTACAGCCAGAGAGCAGAAGAGTCTTCAGAAGTGGTTGTAGGTAGAATTTGGCTGGCTGGCTGCTAGTGGGAAGCACATAGGGCCTGACAGCTGTAGACTTTCCACTGGGTTTAACCTGGGAAAAGAATTAGATAAATAATAGTGCATTTGTATCAGATGAGAAGATGATTTATTGAATTAAAACCAAGCCCTGTCATGGGAAATTGTGGTGCAGTGTGTGCATCCATAAGGGTCCAGAGGCTCGCTGCTTGTTCCTGGATGGTTTTCAGTCAGCATGTGCTGTTTGAGCTGTGGCTAACTGCCTGGCCTCCAAGAGGTGATACATCCTAGGCAGGTGGGGATGCTTCAGGCAGCCTGTGCCTCAGCTCTTTGGCTTCCAAAGTAGGATTTGCCTGTTGGCTTCACTGCAACTTCCATTCAGGAACAGTTTGGATATGGGGAAAAATTCAGCTGTATTTCACAGGGCAGAGGTTTGCAGTCTTATTGCATCAACAAAATTATTTTCTACCAAATGACAAGTTCTTGTAAGTCTTATTTTTGGAGATGAGAGGGAACACTGGTCAGAAAGACTTGAGAAGGAGGTGCATTTTTGTCTGTGTGCATGGGAGTTCTCTGTCCTGTCTGAAGCACGGACTTCTTCTGGTCATAATTCCAGCTCCAGCAAAGCTCTCCAGCACATGGACTGACAGGCAAGGGGACACTGCACCCTGTCACATTCAGTAGGGTGACATGCCAGTAGTCAGCTGCATGATTTTATTACTAGATCTTTAAATAAAGACATCTATTTTATTCTTCCACCATTAGATACAAGAATGTTGCTCTAGGATTTTGCCTTCAACCCAAGATTATTTGTGTAAAAAGAGTGGACAGAGAACCCTCCTGTAGTTCTGGCATTCCTTCCTTTTATTGGGGTTTTAAAACCTGTTCAGGAGGTGACTTCTCTAGCTAGATATATATCAGTTTGTCACTAATCTCAGTGCCACAGACTTGGCCTTTGCATGGAGGTGGGTGTGTGGAAGTTGCTTTGGGGAGGTAGAATTATACATGCAGTCCAGTAGCGTCTCATTGGTTTATTGTTTCCAAACAGTTCCATCCTTTCTCTGTATTGTGAAGGAACTAAACCCATTCTAGACTTAGGCCTACACTCAAATGCCATATCCATGCCTCCCCAGTATTGATGTGGCTATTGATTATTGGAAACACAACTTGTAAAATCCCTTTGTGTTGTGAACTGTGTGTCAGCAGGTGTTCACTGAGTTGCTTTTCAAAGTACAGGAAATCTGTACTTTGCTGGTTGAGGGCACTCAAACCAGCCTTGGTTTGCGCTTTCTGTGAATAGTGCTGAGACCGTGGTGGTGACCACAGAGCCTGTCTCCTCTGTTGCTAGAAAGCCACACCAGGCTCCAGGCTCTGCACCTCCTGCATTGCTGTAAGCAGGGCTGAACTGGTGCCCCTTGGAAAAAGAAGGGGAAATTGCTTGGGCCGACTGAAAAGGGTTGTGAGCCCCTGAGCTGACCCTTTTTCTGTGGGAGATGGTGAATCCAAGCCTCCTCAGCTTATAGCAGGTCAGGGAGACACTCAGCTGTGGTCATGGCTCTTTTACCTTTGAGCAGTTGACCTGCTGAGCAGTGGAATGAGCAGCAGGCCTTTTTCTGCAGGAGGCTGTGGTCCTTGGTAAAAGAGTCTTGGTCAGTGGCTGAGAAAAAGAGGAATTTATTCTCTCAGATACATTTGCAATGAGCAAATTTAGGCTATTTTCATTTGGAGTAAGTAAATGCTCTTATGTGTAGTGAGTACTAAACCACTAAACAGAGATAGGGGAAGGGGAGTGGCAGCGCGAGAGGAACCCAAGAAGTGTGGGAAAAACACTGAGCTACAAAGAACTTGTGCTGGGAAGGCAAAGCCATTTATTTTAATGGGCACCCACTGGAGACAAACTGGTTGCTATGAATTTCAGCTCTGTAGGACAAAAAGCGTTGGATGTTGGGAAATGTTAGATGGCAGATCAGACTTTCCCCTTATTTGTCTAAATTCTTGTGTTTCACTGCTATGAATTTGGCTGCTTTTCAGACAGACGAGTTCTGCTGTTTGTTTTAGCAGTGATTTGCAGTATCACACTTGGCTTTTCTGGGCACGGCAGCATTATCTAGCACAGGTTCCTGTGATAGATCAAGCCCCACTGTAACTCTCTTAAGCATGAGGCCATAATGAACCCCATCATTCCTGATGGATGTGGGATGTGGCCCTTGTTTACTTTTGATCTTGGTGGGTACTGGACAGGGAGACCTCCCCACTGTGCAGCTTGTGGGTGGCTTTGAAGCCCAGGTGGATGAAGTTGTATGGGGTATAGTGACTGCTGGATGATGTGAAACCGAAGTTGAGCAAGAACAGCATGAAAATAAATCTGTCTGCTGTATGGCACCATGCACCTTTCTCCATATAATCCATATGGTACCCCCAAGTTGCAATCCTCACCAAGAAGCTCATGGGGTCCTTGGAGAGGATCATCAGCTGCTGTGAGTGCATCTGAGGAATCTTTGCTCTTTGAGCATGGGAAGGCTTCACATCAGCTCAATGCATGTTTCATCCTTATGCTTGTCTTGTAAAACATCCTAATAGCACAGCTAGATGGATGGGTGACAGCTCAGATGTGACAGCTACACTGTGCCTGCCTCCCTCACGTGTGTAAGAAAACACACAGGCAAGAGCAGGGGCTTCGCTTTGCTCCCTGTGTACTTAATGCAGGGTATGTGGTTTATCTGAAGTCTTGCCAAGTCTAGTCAAGTGAGTCCTGGAAAACTCTTCCCTCTAGTGTTCAGCTGAGCTGGGCTGCAGCTCCTGTGTAAACAGAGCTCCAGGGTGATTTTAGGAGATGTAAAACAGCCAGTGGGGCAGGATCTGGGTCACCCCCAGGCTCAATACAGCTGCTCACCCAGCTGCTGCTCACCTGGGTGTTTGTCCTTCCTTCCTCCCTTGTGCTCTAGGTGAACATCATCCCAATTATTGCCAAAGCAGACACCATCTCCAAGAGCGAGCTGCACAAGTTCAAGATCAAGATCATGAGCGAGCTGGTCAGCAATGGAGTGCAGATCTATCAGTTCCCCACGGATGACGAGGCAGTGGCTGAGATCAACTCTGTGATGAATGTGCGTAATGCTGCCAGTTCCATCGCTGCTGAAAGTTGTGACAAATTAAATTGCTGCACAAAAACTCATTTGAAGGGAAAGTTTCATTGGAAATATCCAGACACTGAATCTGTTGGAAAGTCAAGCTGTGGGTCTCACAGATACCAAAGGCTGTTGCATACAGAATTAATTAAAATGTGGCTCATGTTTAATCTGGAGGCTCTCTGGAAAAACTTAGCTCTAGAATTTGTTTTATGAATTTTTGAAAAATACTTTCCTCAGAATTAATTCTGTCTTCTGTTCTTAGGCTACTTTGCAATTGAGGAAGAAGAAACTTTGAATAAAATGTGACAGTTAAGATTTACATTAGTCTTGTGACTTAAGGAGGCTGACCATAGAAAACTCAGTTTAAAGTAAAGAAGAAAAATTTTTAATCTCTATTTTGTCTTTTTTGAAATTCAGAGATTTAACTCAGACCTGACTGAAGCACATGCAAAAACACTTTCAAGCTTCCTGTCACCCAGATTAGAGTGCAGCTATGGCAGTAGAAACAACTGAAATATTTCCATGTTAATTTTATAAATCAAAAGTAGCTTTTTAATCAAAATTAATGTTTTTCTGCATAACTGTTTATGATTAAATGCTTTGTCCTTTTTTTCACTCTTCCTCCACCTTTTTTTTTTTTTTAATTCAGTCACCAGTTGGTTTCTGGGTGGACTAGATACATGTTTTCACTGTTAATAGTTCTTTTTTGCTGAAATAATGAAAAATTTGGAGGATTTGCTCTTACTTAAATACTTGCAAGCTGTGTGTATTGGGGAGAAAAATGGGAGTCATGCTTGCTTGGCTTTTTTATTTTTCCCTTCCTTCCTCCAATGAAAATATATTTGGCCACTTCTCTGTGAGTTACACACTTCTGGATCCATTTCTTTTTAAAAATGAAGGATTTTGTCAGCCTCCCTCTACTGAAGCACCACTCCGTGGCTCCTTCCTTGCAATCCCCAGGAGCGTGTCCTGTTTCCTCCCTATGCCTGATGCTTTGCAGACTTGGAGAGCAGCGAGTACACGTTGTATCCTGCACATGTCCCTTGCAGTGCTTCCACACTCACTGCTGTGCCAGGGCCTTTTTGTGGATGTCCCTGCATGTGCTTTTAGCAAGGCAGGGAGTGCCCTGCTCCTGGTGCGTGCAGCCTGACAGAGGGATAGAGCAGAGCAGTAATGATCATGGTGTTCCTACAATGTTCTCCAGCTGGTGCAGCTCAGACAGCATTGCTGGTAAGCTGTGATGTGGCCTGACACCACTCTCTGTAGTAATATCCCAGTTGGTAGTAGACATTGCTGCATGTATCAGAAATTGGTAGGTTCAAAGAAAACTCATGGAAGCAGCTCCTGTGCCTGGGTGAGGAGGAGCTAAGGGTCAGGCTGATCTCTGAGGGGTTACCCCATGCACTGAGTCCCTGCCCTTGGCTCTGTTTCAGGCTCATCTGCCCTTCGCTGTGGTCGGCAGCACAGAGGAGGTGAAAGTTGGGAACAAGCTGGTGCGAGCTCGGCAGTACCCGTGGGGAGTGGTGCAAGGTGAGGGGCTGCAAGTCCACCCCAAATATCCCTGTGTGTGCTCAGGCAAGCCTTGACACCTCCCCAGCTCTGCCCTCCACCAGCACCTCTGCATGAAGGTTCCCTGTGATAAGCAGTGCAGGCATGTCCCCTGCAGCCTTTTGTGGATTGGCTAGTCTTTCCTTTGAATTGCCATTCCTACCAAAAGGTAGGAAGGTCAGCAGAAAACCCTGCATCCACATCCAGGGGTTGTGTTGTGCCCTGAGCAGAGCAACAGGCTCCTCAGGATGCAAGTATCTGGAGTCATTCATATGTGCCCTTATGTTCCCCCACCACACTGTAGTTTGCTGACTTGTCCCTTCACTTCTGTCAGTGGAGAACGAAAGTCACTGTGACTTTGTGAAGCTGCGGGAAATGCTGATTCGGGTCAACATGGAGGATCTGCGGGAGCAGACCCACACCCGCCACTACGAGCTCTACCGGAGGTGCAAACTGGAGGAGATGGGTTTCAAGGACACAGATCCAGACAACCAGCCCTTCAGGTGAGTGGCCTTCACATCTAGCATCAATTTAGAGTGAGAGTTTGGTACTGACTGCCTCAAAAAGTGGGAGGTTCGTAGATGAAATCCACAGTGCCGGGCTGGAAAGTACCAGCACTGGGTTTAAACTTTGCAGCTGATTTGGATGTTCCTTTCCTGCCTGTTTTTCTAAACAACACAGACAGGCATGCATTTCCCCATCCCTAAGTCATCAGTGTTCAGAGAGTCTGGATTTCATTTGCTTTCTTTCCCAGCCTCCAAGAAACATACGAGACCAAAAGGAAAGAGTTCTTGGGTGAGCTCCAGAGGAAAGAGGAAGAAATGAGACAAATGTTTGTTAACAAAGTCAAGGAGACAGAGGCAGAGCTGAAGGAGAAGGAGAGAGAGGTGGGTGTGCCAAAAAGAACTCAAACTACAGCCAGCAGGGAATCTGTGTCTGAGCAATTCATGAATCCTGGAAAGCACATTCCAGCAAACCTCAACAGCCAAAGCACAAACACATCACTGGTTTAGGTGCCTCAGAAATTACTCTTCCTTGTCCTGTGTTTAGAGGTTTAGATTTGCTAATTTTTTTTTGTTTCCTGGCCAGTGCACCAAATAATGCGGATTTCAGCACTGGCCAAAATCACTGGTGCACTTTTACTCATTTCTTGCTGTGAGATATGCATTAGGAGGAGAGCAAAACAGGCTCAAAACTTAAAAGGTATAAAGAAACTTTATTAATAGAACTAAAAGAATAAGGAGAATCAGAATAAAACCTTCAGAACACTTTTCTTCCCCCTGCCTCTCAGAGAAACCACTTTCATGGGTGGTTTTTACTTCTTCCCCAAATGTCAATCCATGCAAAACCAGCACACTGTGCAACATGGAAATATGGCTGCTGTCTGGGGAGTGAAAGCCAGTGGCAGGAAGTTTAGGTGAGCAACCTTGTCAGAGACTTCCCACTTGTGGTTCACTGGACAGCAGAGTAAAGGGGGCAGCGGGGCTGGGATCCCCAGTCAGTGAGTCTACTAGAGTCCCCAGTGTAAGGCCCCAGGAAGTAGCTGTGACTGGGGAGGAATTAAATGGACCATCCTCAGAACTCGTGAGGAACAAAAGTTCCTAATAGCTCCTACTAGTCCAAAAATTCCTGCAGTGTCCCCAGCCCCTGTGCAGTGATGCAGGCTGAGCCAAAATCCCCTGTGCTCATCTCCATGGCTCATGCTGCGTCTGGTTTGCTGTGTGGTGTCAGGCAGAGCTAAATTTATTGTGTCTTCCCTGCTTTCGGTGGGCACTGGGTGCTGTATTCTACCATCAGATTGGTCCCTGTGGTGGGGGGTGTGAGAGGGCTCCTGGGGCAGGATTAGCACAGCCAAAATGAGCTGAATGCAATGCTGAGTCTGTCTCCTACCAGCTGCATGAGAAGTTTGAGCACTTAAAAAGGATACATCAGGAAGAGAAAAGGAAGGTGGAGGAGAAAAGGAGGGAGCTGGAGGAAGAGATGAATGCTTTCAACAGGCGGAAAGTCGCAGTGGAAACCTTGCAGTCCCAATCCTTGCAGGCTACGTCACAGCAGCCTCTGAAGAAGGACAAAGACAAGAAAAAGTAAGTGTCTGAACTGAAGTCTTCCTCCTCTGCCACTGGAAAGCTGGGAGTCTGCTCAGATGCTTTAGTATTTGGTCAGTTGTTTAATCATCATACAGAAAAGGGGATTTTGGAATCCTAACTCCCATCCTTCTGGTTCTTGGCTTAAAGCAGAGGAGAGGTGGAGCTCCTTCTGTGCCCAAGCACTGCCCAGAGAAGCCTGGGTAGCTGCAGCGGGGAGGGATTTGCAATCTGGGGCCATTCTCTAAAGGCTGATGGTCCCATGGGGTTCACTCTTGCCTCTTTGACAGCCAATGCAGGTTGTGAAATGGGGCTCCAAGGCACAGTTCTGATTACAAGAAAATTCTTTTCCCCTAAAGGCAGAGTTCTTACCTTAGCTTGCTGCACATTAATTGACATTGCTGAAGCTAGCAGGAGCAAGGGTATGTAAATATTGCTGATCCAGCCACCTGATTGTGTAATGATAGACCAGGAATGGGACAAACACGTTTAAAAAGAAAAGATGTTGTGGGGGTTATCCTGCTTCCAATCAAGCCAGTCTCTAAGGAACACTGTCTGGGGAGCAAAATAAGGAACACTGTCATGGAAACTGGTAATTCTGCTATTGCAGCATATTTTGTTACTTCCCCTGGCATGAAGGAGCTCAAGAGTCAGAACTGCATTCTGTTGAACCCAGAGCAGGCTGGTGGTAAGGCTTTCTGAGCCTCTTAATGATGGCAAGAAAAAAAGACCATGAAGAATAGCAACACCCAATTTTGTGCTTGACAGCACAGCATTCAGCTTCTCACTGCTGATGAGAACTTGAGGTCTGTTGTTTCCCTGCTGTGAACTGCAGCACCAGAGATCAGAGATACCACAGACATTCTGTGTACTGAGATCCTAGCAATTTGTTTCTTCCTGTGGAAGATAACAGGGTAGATTATTTGAGTATTTCGTTGGAATGTAAATGTCTTGGTGCTCTCTTCTGCAGATTGGTCGACATGCTCTGGGCATGGCCTACCTCACACATAGTGTCTAAATGGTTTGTAAAATACTTTGCTGAAAATAGGGTTTAATCTGAATTAGGAGCTGAATCCTAGGGCTTTCTTGGACCCAGGACTGCTTTGGGGAAGGTGTGCACAATGGTAACTTGTGCAGGTGATGCCAGCAGCAGGGATGGACTGTGAACAGGATCCAAGAAATGCTGCAGCTTCCCCTTTGCTCCTTCTGGGAGGTTTTCCTGTACTTTCCTTTTAGCCCACCTGCAGATGTGAGTCTGGACTGTTCCTCTTCTGGATAGCAATAGAAACAAGTCATGATCAGGGGCAGGACTGGGAGGCAGCTTGGTGGTGTGCAAAGGTCTGAGGGGCACCCACAGCCTGTGCTCTGCACACTGGGGGACCCCACGTGGTGCTGGGGCAGGGGGGCTCTAGCTCTGGAGCACAGCTAGAGAGGGTGCACCATCACCAGAACAGTTTTGGATTGGAGATTTTTTTGTTGCTTTTCTTTTCTTTCTTTACAAACCTATGAACTAGCTCAAAATAGGAGGTTTGGGATTTCTGCTCAAGTAAAATTTTTAGGAGAGCTAGTGGAACACTTTATCATCTCCTGGTTCAAAGCAGTGTACTTAGTAGCTTTAATAAGTAAAAAACTGTGATTGAAGAATTGCAGAAGTTGGGGGAAAGAGAAGTGTTTGTGGTGCTGAGCAGGTTGTCCCAGGCTGCTCTCACCTGAAGCCTTCAGCTGCCCTAGCAATGTTTTTCCTCCTCCTCCTTTTTTTTGTTTTAACATACTTCACTACACTTCACTTTTGTTTGATTTTCATAACTTTAATTCATGCTTTTTTATGTTTTGTTTCTTTCAGTTAATCACACAGAGACTTTCAGGCCAGGAGTGGACTTGGTGCTTTCATGTGTTAAGTTGCTTGAGTTTCCCACCCTGAGTGACCCTTCTCATAACATTGTGTGTGAGTGGACCAAAGTGAAAGAGAAAATGAGCATCTTCGGTGGTTGCAGTGTCCCGACCTGGTGTTTTCTTTTCAGAATTATCAGGAGGTTTGCAGGAAGTAACCTTACATGTACATTTTGTTAAACAAAGCCAACTAATCCCTCAAGTAAGATGTTTTGTTCTAAACCCAGTGATTAAGCAGCCATGTATGAAGTGACCAAAACTGAAGTCATCTTACTCACCAGCTAAATAATTGTTTTCTTTTTTTTTTTTTTTTTAATTGGCCAAGGTGACTGCTGGAGGCTCATTGACCTACCCTGTATCTGCACAGTGAGAGGAGTGGTCTGAAGAATGCTGAAATGTTTGTTTTTCTAACAAAATTCTCAAGTTTTTAGAATGGGTAGAAAAACACAACATTTAGGCTTTCTGTAGGAATCTTAGTCAGAGTAACCCTCATTCCAGTAATTCTGTATTAATTCCTGAATTACTCTAAATACTATCTACATCATTTATAATATATATATATATATATAAGGAGAGAGAGAGTGGTTAATAAAGTTAATGGGACAATGTTTTGAATTTTCTTTACTGCTAAAGTAGAACATTTATAGAGAGGTTTTTCATAAGAGTTTGTTGTATAAAGTAGAACTACAGGATTTGTGTAACATTTCAGTTGTCACTTACCAAGGTATTTACTGTTGTGAACTATTTAAGCCAACATCTTTACTTTAATGTGTGCCTAATATGTGCCTAATAAGGAGAATTCCCCTGCTCTTGAGCTGTGCACTTATTTATACTGACAGGCTCTTTTCCTCTTAGAAGGTGCTTCTTTTGACAACTCCTTATGCCTAGAAATAACAGCCTTGTTTTCCTGGGCAACTGAGCTTAGAGGAATAATTAAGATCACTGCTAATTTTTTCCACTCAAACTGTTTTGTGAATTGGCAGGGCAATAACTGAACAGAGAGTTACTGGCTATGTTGTCATGGAAAAATGGTTGGACCCAATTCCATCCATCCATCAGATCCTAGGCTAAATGAAAAGAAATATTTTATATTAACCCTCACATAGTGTCTTTATAGTTTATAAAAACACTGGCTGGCTAAGTGTTAGTTGTGAGTGTGTACGTTTTTGTTTAGTTAATAATGTTACAGGATTTTTTCCGATATGTTTTTGTTAAAGACTTGTCTTTAAGCTGTCAGCAAACTCCTGATGTGCCGTGCAGAAGGAGATGCAGGGCCTGGGTCTGAGCTGTCACAGGGCTATTGCAGGGCAGCATTTTGCTGAGAATTCTGAGGTTCTTTAACTCTCATATTCCATTAAAGCAGCTTTTTGTTCTCATTTCTAAATACATGCTCAGGTGTTACACTGTTTTCCAATGGACATTGGCCTTTTATGTGGATATACTGTCAGTGTAGCTTGATTGCTTGTACAAAAGAACCTCGCAAAGATCTCACTGGTACCTTTTAGAACAGACTTTTGTTGAAAGAATAAAATTTCTGCACTTGTTGGGAGTCTGCTGAAAGCTGGACATATAATTTTTAAGGCTGTGCCTCCAGGTTAGATGTATTTTAAAGAGTAACTATCAAATGTTAGGGGGGTTATTGTGGTTTTCTTAAACATGTTCAAGGAACCCAACCTTCTGTTATATGCAAGAATACAATTCCACCTCACCTCTGACTACAGACCAATCACTTAGCAAATTATTTTTTATTAATCTTTTGCTAATGAGAGAAACTGTGGTGTACTAATTGCCAGAGCAAGCAATGCTCTTTGGTTCATTGTTTTGCTTCCCAAGGCCAGTGCTGGGATAAAACAGTAACTGGTGGTACTGGTGTGCACCCAGCTGCCTCACCAGTGTGTTCTCAATCAATAGTTCTCTCCTGATCTCATGCTGCAGCCAGCAAGATCTATGCAAATGATTTCTCTCTGCCCTGGCTCATCAGAGATCAATTATTTTTTTCCTAGAATAACAGGTAGTTAAGAAATATTTTTATAACGAAGAGTAAAAATCTTCAAATCCATGGGCATTGTGGAGAAATTTACAGCATTTTCTGAAGAAGACATTCAGAATGTATGTAACAATATTTTCACGATTATGTTGATTATTATATTACTTTGACTTTATGTTGTGAGGGACATCCCTTGTCCTTGTAGTTGCTTGTTCAACATCACAATCTTCCCAAGGGGACTCAGTCATATTTTTTTCCTGACTACTTATTTTTTTCTTTTGGCTGAGACAAGATTTAAGTATTGTGGTAGGGTAGTTCTGTATCTTATTTTTATTTAACAAATTACAAATACGTTGTGATGCTAATCTCACCCAGTCTGAAGACTTAAAATCCTGTAGGGTAGAAAAAGTGAAAGAAATACCCTTCAGAAATTATTAAAACCATCCAGTTACACATCTTTCTGTTTAATACATTTATCTACAAAAGATTGGTATTAATGGGAAAAACTATCCATTTTTTTTATCATTTAAACATTTACCGTCCTGTATGTTGTCTGCTTTCTAAATTAAATTGTGTTTGTGGGTCTCTGGTGGGGGGTCTGGCTGAGGTGGCTGCCCCAGGGGTGTAGATGGGGGTGTTTTGGAGCTGTGGAGGCACTTTGGGGACCAGCCCTCTGGGGAGCACATCCCTTTGCTTTGTCAATCCCAGCGTGTTGGGGTTTGTGGTTTGTTTTGTTTTGTTGTTTTTTTTTTTTTTACTTTCTTTCCACTCACTTTGTACTTTTTTTCTTTTATTAAATCTCACGTGTATTTTGAATTTTTGTGGTGTCGTTTATTTAGTGATGCATTTTCTGTGCAATCTTATTTTCTGTATTATCTGTCACAAAAATAGTGTGTCATGATTGCCAGCTTACCAGTCACGGGCTATCTTATGACTATTGGGAACATTCACGAATATAATTAGCTAATTAATTAACAACTAGCTAATCAGAGAGTATGCTAAAATGTACTTCCTATGTAATCTGGGGAGAAATTCTTAGATATTAATCCAAAAGCCATCAGTGTTTGGGCAGAAGGAGCTTTGAAGCTTGTTGGTACATCCCCTTTGTGAGATCTGGTGACGGAGCAGGGGGATGTACCTGCAGCTTTGCTGATTTTATGGTGCCCAAAGAAGTGATGTAAAGGTAGGGTGAAAAGGGAGCAGAGGTGGAGAGGTTTCCTGGTGCTGCATCCATTGTCTGGAAAAGGACTTTTTACACTTAGGTCAAGGCCAGCAAAAGAACACAGCTTTAGTTTGGTGCTCTGCTTTCAGAGAGCTGCTGAAGTTTTACCCAAAGGTTTGTTCTCAGTGTTTGTTCTCTGGGACATTACTATGTGCCAAGTTATATTCACTCCACTTTGGGTCCTTCTGGGGTTTATTTGGTACTGCACTGAAATCAGGGCTGCACTTCAGACACAACCAGTGTGGAGTTTGGCTGATGCACAGTGTTTGCTGTAGCAGTGCTTCTGGTGGGGGGTTTTTCTGCAGCCCCAGCTTGAAGAGTAAAACCAGGCTGGTGATCCTGGCTGCCTCTCAGAGCTTTTTAGAAACATGCAGCTGGAAACTTTTTAGGCAAAAACTAGCAGGCAATTACCAGTTGATACCAAGTGATTGGTATGAAATGTTTACATCCTTTGCCATCCCACTACATTTTCAAGCCAAATCTGGGAGACCAGAGAGGAGCACATGCATTCAGGAACCTAATGTGGTGGAGTAGCTGGTCCTTTTAAAGACGGGCCACCTGGTGATTCAGATGATGTGCATTGGCAAGTGTCTTTCCAGAGGAGCAGTGTAAAGAGAATTCATTAATATTTGTGCAGAGCTCCTAGAGATGCTTTGAGGAGAAGGAGAAATGCATAGGTTTGTTAAAGAAGCTCAGCAGTGAGGTAGGTGCTGCCCATGCTTTGCAGTTCCAGAGTTCAAGCCTGGTGGCTGAGCCTGTGGGACATGGTGGAACTTTCCTTCAGGAGACAGCTTGATGAACCCAACCTTGTCCTTGGCTGTTCCATTGGGAGAACTGTGCAGCTGTGAGGGGTGGATGGAATGAAGCAAGGACTGTGCAAAGCCGTGTGTGCTGGTGGGCAGCTGCTCTTGCAGGTGTCCATCTCCTGGGATTTCTCATGTTCCATCAGCAGTCTTTTCCCATTAAAATTTTAAATCAATCCTCTGATTACCAGTTCCAAACAAGATGTTGGCAGCTGTGAGAGCTTCTCCAAGTTGCAATGGGTTAAACTCAAATGTTTGTACAATAGATCGGTGCTTTGACCTTTCATGCTGTCTTTACTTAATGTAAATAACTGAAACTTAAACACTGATTCTCTTTTGTTCTTTCTATAGCTTTTTTAGTCTTCCCAGTGCATACTCCATAACAACAGGAAGATATGTTAATTAGAAGATTTATTAAGGCCAAAACATCTCATGCAGAAGAAATTAATCGGTGCTTACACCTTTAAGCTTGCAATATATCGCACAGAAGAGAAAATGTAGCAAGGACTAAAATTCACCGTGTCTTTTGATGGGGAAAAGTTTGCTTAATCAGGTTTCTTGGTAAAGTTGAAATCCAAGATACTTGCCAAAAGGTAAACTACTAATTCAGGCTGCTGCATGGCTGGCACTAAATCCAGAATGCTTATTGTGGGGCTCTTACCCCAAGGGAGTTAACACTGACTGACTGCAGAGACATGAGGGACAAAGCTGGGGTAATGTGAGGAGCTTTCAGCTTTGCTGCTCGAGCTGCTGTGGTAACAGAGTCCTGCAGGTCCTCTCCTCAGTCTGGTTTTGGAGTGTAGCTGAGGAACCTGATGTCCCTAACCTAGCATCCCTAGTTTGATATCCCTAATCTTTCAGCTGTATTCTCACCTTTCATAACAATAAGTCTTGTGTGCAGCTTGCTTTTGTATACTTACAAGTTTTATAACCAAAATGCCCCAACCTTCATCTCTTTAGTTTTCTGAGGGCTGCCCATGATGTCTCACACCGTAACTGCTTCCCCAGAGCTCCCTGCCCACCTCCCACCTGCTGCTTCAGGGCCAGGTCCAGCCTGGCCAGTCCGGGCTCTGCTTGTCCTGCTGGGATGTGATGGGTCAGAAGAGAACCATTTTAAAGCACAACTATGTGTTACTTATTAATGGAGGGGAAATGGTTTAAAGCTGGAGACTCAGTGTTCCTGGTGTTTGTAACAGACTGATTTCCTCTTAACACAAATACCTTTTTTAAAAAAAGGAAAGGGGGAAGACAAAGTGTGATGTCTGTGCCCCAGTAACTTCACACAGGAACAGGGAGAGGCCTCTGCTTATCTTTGTTTTAAAAGTTTATCTTTGTTTTAAACAACCTTGTAAATGAATCTCAGGAATTACCTGTACCAAAGCTGGGTTTAATAAAAACAAAACTGACTTGTTTAACAAACATTTGTTAAAACCATGGTTTGTACACCAGGTGTAACCAGAAACAATGTCCTCTGTCCAAAGTCACAACCTTCTGTGATCCCTCAGTTTCTCCTTATTAATCCCGTTGCCCTGTGGTTAAAATGTGATGTCCCCTGTGCATCCCTGTGCCTTGGCAGCTGCTGTCCCCAGACTCCCTCCCTTCTCCCCCACTGCCCTGAGGCTGGGAGGGTAAAAGTGACCAAAAGCCAGTTTTTGGCAGGAGGTTTGAGGGAAGTCTCACCCTGTGCAGCTACCCTGCACTGGGTGCTGTGACTGCAGTGGGATAAAGGCTGAGAATAGGGAGAGTGGGTGTATGTGACAGGAGCCCTCTGAGCCTCCCACAGAAGGCATTGTGTCCCTGTAACCCCCCCAAGAGATAGAGAGGCTGGTGTAGAGGTACTGACTGCCCCAGGCACTGAGTGCCTGTCCCTAGGGTGTCTGATAAGTGACAGTCTCTAAGCCCTCTGGATGCCCTTAGCCTAAATGAGAACTGAGAAATAGATTGCAGCTGCATCAGGTATGTGGCCTGAAAAGGACTAAACTGGACACATGGAGAAGCTGTGGAGACTCCTGCCACTTGCAGGCATTAGGGATGAAACCCCAGGACAAACATGTTCACCCCATGTTCTTCATCCCTGCCTGTCTCTGCTGCCAGAGTGGGCAGGGATGAGGCACCACTTGTGTCAGGGGAAGTGGGACCAGGTGGGAAGCACCAGGGTCTGGCACAGATGTGTCTTGGGGGCCATGAATTCAGAGCTGGAAGTCTGCTTAGGAGAGTTCTGTCTGTCTTGATGTCTGTGGTGCTCTGCACAGAATGCAGGAAAGCTGAAACTGTGTGTGACCATCAGGCTGAGCTATGACACAGCCTTCGCTGCTGCTTTGATGACTGTTTTAAATTTGTTTGTGTTCTCTTTCGAGGCCAGCCACTCTAATTCCTTTAGCAAAGCTTTCATCCAGCTTGGAGTTTTTGTCAAGTTAGATTCCCAGCAGGGCAGGTGAATTGGGAATAGAAGCTTTTTGTTCTTCTTCCAAATTGCTCTGAAGATTTGATTAAGTTCTGTTTGTCATGACCATAGTTAGGTCACCAGGGGAGTTCCAGTTGCACATCTTGCTGAGGAAGAATGGGTGGGGGCTCTGAGACCTGGCAGAAGTTCATGCATCTCTCCATCTCACTGCACTTTTCTGCCTTCCTAAAGAATTGAACTGTAAGTACTGCTCAAATTTAACACACTAAAGTCAATTAGCAGGAGAAAAAAACCCAACAACTGTATAGATGCAACCCCACAAATGAGGTATAACTATTGCATTACTCTTCCCTTTGCAGTTTTCTTGTCTCTCAGTCAATTCTTTAACCACAGGAGTTTGTTTATTTGTGCAACTGTGTAAATGAACTCTTCTCCTAGGTCATCACATACTCTCCACAACTGGTGACACTGAGCCAGGTTTATTGTCAGAAACACCCCAGTGAGTGCTGGCTTGAAATGGGGCAGCTTCCTCCTCATCTGTAATGGTTCCTGGGCAGCTGCATGAGCTGACATGGTTCCTTTAGCTGGGGATTATGAATGGGGGACATTGTGGTGGATGGGAGGATATGAAATGCTTTGCTGTTTCTACAGAGGGTTTAAACCAGACACAGGAAACAGTTCTGTGGATGTTTACCATAAGGGATTTCAGGTGTAATTGCAGCTTTGTTTACAAGGTGGTGGTAGCTTCAGGCATCTGAAAATCTGGCCTGAATTGAGGCAACAAGAGGAGTCTGGCTTTGAGAGGTATGCCTCACCTGGGCTGAGATCCCCCAAGGGAAGGGATCTTAACAGGTCAGAGCTCTTTTAAAATATTCTATAAGCATTATCTGTAGTTTTCCTGGGAGTGAATATTCCCCAAAACAATCCTCACAGAGCTAGCCATAACCACGTAAAACCTGTGCCAGCACTCACTGAATCTGGCACATTTGCACCAGTAACTGGTGTGTAGTGAATGGGATCTGAAGTGGTGAGTTGAACTGTGCTATTTTTAAAATCCTCCTGCCCCTCCTGAGACATCAGTGAACCAGCAACGGTCCAGAGAAGGGAGGAGTTTATATATAGCAAGGACTAGGGATAAAACAAGGCTCTTTTCTGGTGGGACAGAGTCCCAGCTTTAATCAGAAGATGTCCAGGGCAGGAAAAGAGCAAGAATCATGTCCTGTGTTGGCTTCTGAACCGAGGGAGAAGGGGTTAGTGAGAACAGGTTACAAGCAACAGGAAAAAACTACAAGGGAGGAATCAGGGAGGTAGGGGAGAAGGAACTAAGATGCTATAGATCAGGGGGAGAGCCCCAGAAATATACCATGTATCTTAACACAATGCAACAGAGCTGCAGTTGGAATAAATTCATGCTGTATACACAGTCCAAACAGGCAGGCACACAGGTGAGATGTCATCCCCTCTGAAACTCACTGGGAAAAATAATTGTTCCTGTCACTGCTGTGTGTGGGGAGTGTTCATCTCGTCACTCATTACTTGTCCAGGCAGGGAGGGGAAAGGTATTAAAGCTTCCAGCCCTGTTCTGTGAGGAAAAAAAAAGAGAATTTGTGTTATTCTCACTATCCAAAAAGCTCCTTTTGTAACAAGAATGGTCCTGTGCAAAAGCAGCTCCTTCCTGTACCTGGCAGCTCATTCTTTGGGGTAGGAAGCTCCATTCTGGGTGATAGCAGGAATGCTAAAGGTAAGTTACATTTTTAGCCTGTTGAAACCAAGACAGAAGTATTTGTTCCTTCATGGTAACTACAGTGCTGGAAGAGATGTGTGGGAGGGAGCTGTGCTGCCAGAGAGAAGCAGCTGTGTGTCCTGGGAGTGCAGGCAGGCTCCAGGTGAACTGTTCCCATCCCAGTGTAGCATCTTGCACCCTGACCGGGAACATGGAGCCCTGAAGGGCCTTCCAGCACTGCCTTTATCTTTTAGAATTAACCCCTGTTAATGCATACTTTTGAATGTTGATTTTAGAGATATGCAGAGATTTTGAAAAGCAGGTTTGTTCATGGGTTTCGACATGTCATCCAGCTATAGGCAATAACTACATACATAGGCTCAAAGCTGTGGGGGGAAAAAAAATGAGGTTACAATTGTTGTGATGTAAAGTTATAGCATGTTAATTACTTATGTAGAACTCTGCTGCTGGCATTTCCACAGGTAAATGCAGCTGGTGACAATGCTTGAGATAGAAGGGAGGGAAGCAGAGTCCATCACACAGCCCAGTTTTCTGCAGGGATCGGTGTGGGCATCACCTTTCAGCTGGGCTATTCCAGAGCCACAGAGAACAGGCAGACCAAGCTTATGTTTTATTTAGTGGAAAACTTGCTTCCATTCAAAAGCCAGGCAGTCAACTCACAGCCTGTGAGAAAAAAGGAAGGTACTGCTCAGAAGGAGGAAAGAGTCCTACCATTAAATGAAAACCTTCCCTGTGGTAGCATAAATAAATACCATGTCCCAAGCACGCCTGACCCCAGAGTATGTGGGGGCCTCACAAACCTCATGTGGTCTAAACCAGCCCCCTGAGCCCTGCTCCTGCAGCATTCCAGGCAGAGCCCTCCCTCAGCACAACATCCACAGCTTCAGGTAGCTTTGACCTGGCTCATGGGAATTCTGTGGCTTTCATTGCTGGTTCAAGTCATGTCTGTTCACACAGGTTATTTGTACTAAGTCTCCATTACTGGATGTTACTGGAACACTTGGGCACTTCCTTTGTGGATTAAAGAGCAACATGACTTTCTCCCTGCACACACAGAACTCACTGTGTTCTCAGAGCTCACTCTGGCAAATGTAACACTTGAAAAAGTGTGAACAGCTGCTCAGCACATCAGTCCTGCATGGTTCACATTCAGGAATCCCTCTCCTACAAGATAAGACAATGAGGAAGGGGAGAAGGCCAGAAACTTTCTTCTTGCACTGATGAGCTCTGCTGTTCTACAGCATGAGGGTCTCCTTCCTCCTGTCCCAACTCTGTCTCCAAGTTTTTTATCCCATGTCATTACATGAGACACCTGCTCAGTATTTAGCCTGTGCCAGTCCATATGAAACCCGCTCCTGTTCTGTGACAGGACGGCAGGTGTGGTGCTGTTACCCATCCTGTACTGGCTGGATAATACCCTCAAGCTAGGGTAACAATCACCTAAAAATGCCTTTTTGTTTAAAACAAAACCTGCACTAATTTTAAAGTGTGTGTAAAGCTGGTTTTTAAAAGTGCAAGAGTGGTTTAATCTGACCTTTGTGAAACCACTTTGCTGTGAAGGTTAAGCAATTTTTAAGAAATGTGGTTATAGTGGTGGAGGGGAATTATTAAAGGCATTTTATATTGTCTAGTCTGGTAAAACAGAATAAATTTTGAAAACCCTGACCAGCACTGGTTGGTGAGAGTCCAAGACAATGGTGATTGTAGACAAGAAGTGATTTCCCACATTTCATAAGAACTGTGATTGAGTCTGTAATGGTTTAACCAGGACAAAGCACAGATCCCAGACCCCTGGATTACAAGGTAAGGCCTTAAGGGAAACTGGAGGTTTGATTCAAGCTTCTCACTGCTAAATCAAAGCCTTGGTTCCTTCTGAGATCTCCTGCAGAGGCAGCAGTGGGAGTTGTTCATTCCTCAACAGCAGCTCCTGTTCAGGCTCCCATGGGCTGAGCCAGATTAGCTCTAATGAGAGAACAATGGTATGAGCTGGATGAAAGGCTCAATCTGTCAAACTTCATCATGGCTATTTTAAAAATAAACTCTGAGGCATTTGGTTCTCCACGAAGTTTGTAGCTACTTGCCAACTGGATCCCTGGGTTGAAGGACTGCGACTGAGTCCCTCCTCTCCCCAGCTTTCTGTCTTTACATAATCTTAAAACTGAGGGGTAGCACATACTGCTTAGCAAGAACATAAAGAATAGACTGATAATAACAGCTGTCTTTATCCTCTGAGAAGCACAGTGACACTTCTGCCCTGTTGTTTTGGCTGTTGTGTTTGCTGGGACCTCCTGGTTCTGCAGGTGCTGCTTCCAAGGCAATAATTCTCCAGTCCTTTTTGGTTGGCTGTAAGGGAGGACAGGCAGCTCTGATGTGGGCATGAGCCTCCTGTGTTCATCCTCCCAGCACTCACTTCCCCATCCTCACGGTGCAGGTGACTGAATCACAGCACTCTTGAGTCTCGATGGTTTGATCAGGAATTTGGGCTTCATTTGGTGTGAAAGGTGCTGAAACAGGCTGGCTTACAGCAACCCTCTACCTCCCCTGATGGGAACTCTTCCTTTCAGAAGGATGATGGCAGGGTAGCCTTGTCTTGGGATGGCCCTGCACAGCTTGGCTATGGGATAGAAAATATAAACAGTATTGGGTGGCTGCAAGCACATTAACTCTTGATCCACAAACTCTTTGCAGTGGATGAATTCGGTGCTGTTCACCTGTAAAGAAAGATGCAGATTTAAGTTCTGCTTCTTTTGCAAATAAATTACTCCCTTGTCTGGCCACTGCTCCTTTTAGTTTGGAATTGGGGGTTGGGGTGCAGGGACAGGCTGCATGCCTCAGTAGATAGATAGCAGATAGATAGCAGCAATATGCTGTTGATCCTGATTGAAAACAGCTCCTGATAACTACTCCTGTAACTATTACTACTCCTCCTACTACACAGAACATGGGCAAGTGCTTTCTCTTGGCAAGAAACAACAGACAGCAGGAGGCCAGGTTATTCAGGCAATTTCAAGACCTTAAAATTGGTGGATGGCACGCTAACAGCCTGGGTCTTTAGCCTTCTAAGTGTGCTCTCTTAAAAGTTATGTGTTTTATGAAACTGGGGAAAAGCTTAAAAAAAAAAAAAGAAACAAAAAATAGAGCTTGTCTGGAATCATTAGAAGTCAAACTGTTTATATTCTTAGAGCAATGTGAATGTACTTTAAAGTTTTCTCAGAGTTCAGTGTGAGGCTGAGGAAACTGGGCAAATTTCTAGGTGCTCTCAGACTCTCCCATGAGAGAATGTCTCCTGGCTCAGGATGCAGGGTGCTGTCTTTGGCCAAGAATTTAGAACCTTCCCTTCCCTGCCACAGGAATGTCCCTCTCCCCAGTCCCACCCCAGAACTGCACCTTTGTTCCCTTTTGTTAGCACCAGCAAGGTCGGCAGCAAAGGCAGGACAAAGACACAGGTCTCAGGAGCTGCTGAAGTGCAATACTGGCTGTAAATACACATGGCTTTATTAATTTATCATGTCCTGCCTTCAGGATTTGTGACCAAAGGCCATTTTGCTTCCTACCTGTGCTTTTTTTAGCAGATCAGTAGTAACAGCAAACCAACCAGGAGTCTGCCTCTCCAGTTCCAAAGTGATGATCACCAAAACCAACGTGGAGCCCTTAAACTGCACGAGTTGGTGGCAGGCCATACAGTGCTGCAGCTGCTTGGTCAAGAGTGCAACGTGGAGGGAAGGATTCCTCTAAGGCAGTCTGGGTGGGAGATGGGGCCAGCTGGACATCACCATGGCATGGAACTGCAGAGAAGATAAAGTGTACATATATATATATACACACATATATATATGAAAAGAAAAGCAGAGGTCAGTGAAGTTTATATGTATGTTTTCATGTCATCACCCAGAGGTACAGATGAATTTCATCTCATATCAGGAAACTTCAAGGCTTCCCCCACCTTTTTTTTTTTTTTTTTGTGTTTGTACTTGCCAATCATTGAACTGTTTTTTTGAGCTGATAATGAATGTATGAGGTCTGTGTTTCCTAACAGTTTCTGAGGTTTCTACACTATCCAGATTGCTGTCCAGGAGATTCAATTCAGAGCAGCTCCAAATCCAGTAAAACCAGTAATACTGCACTCGGAATTCACCAAGGAAACAAGCACCTACGAAAGGCAGTTTTCACAATCAGCAGCCTAAAATGGCTTAATATTTGCACATAACCTTAAAAGAGGGATCCAGGATGTGTTTGTATCACATGAATTTTGCCTTACTAGCACATGATCGTTTCTTGAAGACAAAGTTTAATTGTTTCTATTAAATGTTTAGTTACTGCAATGTGAACTAAGTGCCATATCAGGGTAGTCTCATTGCATAAATGAATAATTAGTGGGATGAAAAGGAAAAGGATTTAAGGAAAAATCTGTGTGTGAAATGTAGCAAAACTCTGACAGCTTTCTATGTACAGTATTAATAGAAGGGAAATAGTTAGAAATATTTTTGCAGCTTGTATTTAAAAAAAAATAAAGAAGGCATATAGTTGTGCATTATGAGAATCTTTTTATGTCCATTCAGTTGTCCTTTAAAGACGAGAGTAAATTTTTTGAGCAAAATAGAAGGTTTTAAATAGTAGAAGATTTTTTTAAAAAAATTAAAATATAATTACTGTATTATTCTTTAAAAGGCTTGAATAGACATAGGAATAGGTAGTTTGCCAAGCATCATGGGAAGGATGTGTGGGTGTGGGTGTGTGTGTGCATCTGTGTTTTTTAGTCTTATTTGATAAAGAGTTGTTTCTTTAATGAAAAAAACATTGCAAAACATAGTGCTTACAATGTTTAAGAAATCCATTGGTGTTGCTGTGTAAAGATCCCACTGAAGCTTATCCAGTGTAATTCTTTCCATTCTTAACATGTCAGCTGGAGAGTGTTTACATCTGCTCTGCATCTCTAGCATCTGCACTGATGGTATTACCTGTAAAAAAATTTTTAAAAATTAAAAAAAAAAATAAAGAAGCCAACATCCTATACAGTGCTGTGTGCGCTTCTCTCTATTGTGAAGGGATCTGACAAGTTTAAACAAGTTTACAGTAAGCAGAATGTTCATCCAGGAGATCTCATTCCTAGGTACCTCCCATCCTAAATGAAAAGTAGTCCCTGCTCACCCCAGGGCAGCTGCTACAAACCCAGCCCACAGCAAGAATGATGCTGTGAGCCTCCCCAGTGTGGCATCAGTGATGCACCTTCCTTGCTACCACTAGTTTTGCTCAAAGGAGTCTTCCTGTCAGCCTGTCTTACAAGGCCTGCTGTGGTTGTCTTGTTTCCTGTGGTAATTGACACAGCTTCTCCTTTGTAGATGCGAGGCAAAGAACAATAACCTCAGTGTAACACCACCTAAGAAAGGCTGTGAAGAACATTTCACTACTGCAGTGGTTGTTTGAAGAGATGTGTATGTCTGATTCCAGGTCCTGGCTTTCTTCTTTTGCAAAGCAGAAGGAAGAAAAGAGGAGGAATGCAATCTGAAATGCTTTTAGCTAATGCTTGCAAATGCCTGCAGAAGTCTGTCACTGCATTTTTGCCGTGAGACATACCCTGTGTAATTTCTCACTGGCTGCTAACTTTATTTTCTCATTTTGAGGTGCAAACCTGAGTCAGTTCCTCACTAGGTTCAAAAACCAGTTTTGGCTCCAAGCAAACTTACCTGTTTGAAGCTTTCTCTGAAGAATCTCTGCTCTATCACAGCTGTTGTGTCCTCCAGGAGCTATAGCATGGGAATTGCAGCCCTCCAATGTGCATCTTGACTGTCTCCACAGACTGAGCTCTACTGTGAGCCATGCATTCTGAAAAGAGGAGGGAGGTTTGGAGGCAGGACAGAAACACATCCATGACATAAACAAAAACAAATCCTTCATGCCTAAAGGTCACAATTCCTCAGAGCAACATGAAACAGGACTGAAAATGCTACTCTCACCTCTTTAGGTCTACTTAGGGTAAATAAATTAACACTTTTTCATTATATCCAAGTTGTTGAAAGACCTGGAAACATGAACAACGTTTTTAGTGTATTTCAAATGAAACATGCAGACCTCATCTTCATTGTTTTTTGCTGCAAGGACAAGGCAGGAAATGGCAATGCACTGCAGATATTTTAATTGGGCCTGAAGGGAGAACAAGAAAACACTGAGTAAAGAAGAGTCTTGGGGGAAATAATTGTCAATCTATGATACATACACAAGTTTCAAACCTTCATTTAAGTTACAGTTGCTTCTGAATTAGTTTAGCTACCTGTCCTGGTTTAGGGCAAATTTGGGAGAGAACCTCCAAATGGGGTCGCCCCAGAAAGCAAATCCAAGCAACTCCTCCCCCCAGCTGTTTTGGGAAAAGAGATTTCCTTGGAGAGAAGTGGAAAAAACTGTTTATTTAACAGAAATTGGATAACATTAAACAATAAAACTTCTTGCTGTTTGACCAAATGGCAAATCCAGGAAGAAAAGTCTTTTTCATGTGGCGTAGCTCGGCCTGCTCAGGTTCTCATCAGTCCCTCTGGCGCTGGAAAGTGCTGAGGCCCGGTGGGCCACAGGCCTGAGCTCCCGGGGTTTGTCTGGGTGTTCAGTCCAGAGCAGGCTTGAACAGATCCAAGGGAAAAAGAAGAAAAAAAAAGGTCCAGGGAACTTCTCTGCCTCAGCTAGCTAAAACTAACTAAACCAAAGAGAAGCTCTGTCCAGCTGTCTGTCCGTGCTGCAGACACCACAGTCCAGGAGCAGGATGCAAGGGGGTGATGTTTTTCCTCAACACAAACTGCGGCTTCTTCTCCTCCTTCACTCTCAGAGCCAGTCCTAAAGGTGCAGAACTTAATATGTAACATAAACCAGGTGACTGGGGATACAAACATCATAAAGTCACCCCCAGGACACTACCAAAGCTGGAAATAAAACAAGGAAATTCAAAGTGAAGCAGAATAAATCCTCATATAGGTGCCATTTTTACTCATGTCTCTCACAATTTTTAGACTATGCAATGCTACAGTATATACATTGCAATGTTGCTCCTCATTTTCAGATATTGGTTCAGGTTGGCCTTCAGGAAGAATTTCTTCACAGAAGGGGTTGTTAAACATTGGAACAGGCTGCTCAGGGAGGTGGGTGAGTCACCATCCCTGGGGGTGTTCAAGAAACAGCTAGATGTGGCACTTAGTACTGTGGTTTAGTTGTATGGGTGGTGATCAGTCAAATGTTGGACTTGATGATCTGAGAGGCCTTTTCCAACCTTAATGATTCTGTGATTCTATATGCCAGTATCAACCAAATAGAATTGGGAGCTGCAAGGCTCAGCTCGACTCCTACTTTTGGTGTAGCTTCAGTGGCAGAAAAGGTCAGCCCCATAATTTAATTAAATATAGTAGTCTAAAAACCAGAATATTAAAAGTGATAATGTGAATAATTTGTTTAGCAGAGAAAACCAGCTGAGTTCTTTGTACTTACCACAGCAGTTGGACTAAGCTTACACAAACAATTCTAATGAGGTCAGTGGAACCTCATCAAACACTCAAGTTCATATATGTGTGTGTGTGTGTATATATATATATATATATTTGCTTAATTGCTTCCCCCAGCAATGACCCTGACTGCTCCCTAAATCTGCTGCCAAACATCATCCCTGCTTTGTGTATAAATTGGCTACATGTTCCTTACATTCCCAGTCAGTAATCTAGCCAGGGAAAAGCTGACAGATCTTTACTGATACCAACAGCCTGTTGAAGATGCTGGTGGCTAAAGCAGATGTTTTCAGGTAAAACTGGAACTGGGAGCTGGTTTCTGCAATCCAGACAAGTGCTTTTTGTAACCTGACAGAGATTTCTGTGCCTTGAGGGGAAGGAAAAATTAAAAGATAAGTACAGTTAGTGCTTTGATGATTTTGTCAACATATTTCCAAAGGAAGACTCAAATCTTTTTATGTGCTCTAATTAGCATTTAAAATGGCTGGAGGCTTGAAATTAAGGAAGTTGTCGGCTGTGTCCACAGAGGGAGGGCAAGGGCACGTTTTGGAGCAGTTTAAAGCACTCACTCGTACTGCCCCACCCATCTTGCTCTGGCTATGCTAACACAGGCTTGGTACTCGGTTGTACTGGAGAACAGAGTGGGGAAGCAGCCAGGCCTCCCAAACTGATCTCTTACATACAAGGTCCTGAGTGTGTTTGTTCTTCCCACCCTGGGAAAACTGAAGCCTCGATGCAGCACGTGTTGCACTCAGCCAGCCTCAACAGAGAAACTAGGCAGGAATAGATTTTGATTTACTCTGCAAGAGTTTTAATAGCCCTTGGATTTGCTGCATGTTGGGACCAGAGCCAGGTTTGTGACTCCCCAGAGGTACATGGCAAAATGTACTGAGTTTTTTCTTTCTTATATCTTATTTGAAGCTGCATTCAGATGAAAGGGAGAACCATGGCTACCATGAGAATAGCACCCAGGAGCCATGGAACTCACCTGAACATTAGGAGTAGGGGAAGTAAAAAGGCCAAGCAGCTATGCAGAGCAGACAAGGCTAAACACCAGCTTGTTTACTCATCACATTATCTGTTTCACTATTTTGCTTAATTTGGTAGTAAAAATACTTGGAAAAAACTAGCATTTCTAGACTATTGCAAGAAAGAGACAAGGCTGATAAGGCACTTTTGTGCATTCTTCCATGGTTCTGATGCATTTACAGAACCAGCCAAGCAAAACTGTTTGTATTGTACACAGCAACCGTGAAGTCTTGTAGCTTCCTAAGGTAGTTTGGGTTTCTGTTAGGCCTCAGTGAATTCCCTCTTCTCTCACCTTAACAGATAGAATTCACAGATTGTGCTGAACACAATTAATATGCCAAATTTATGGTTTTACCATTGATTGGCTGATCTTATCTGCTCTACCACATTATCCCAAACTATTTCACATTTCCCAAAACTACTTTATTTTTCTGACTGAGCCACAAGAAATTGCAAACCCCCTGTTTTATACAAGGTCTTAACAAAATGTAAAACAAATACAACAAATACATACCCTCCTCCCCCTCCATTCCTTAAGCCTAGTCCATGAGGGATGACTTTTGCATTCAGGTGTATCAGATGGCATGGCCAGCACTGCATCTTTGCAGGGTCCTTTAGGGAATTCCAAAGAGGGGAGGATACCTTCATGGTGAGATTCTGGAATACTGGCACTTTTCAAATCCTGGCCTCTCTGGCTAAGACATTTTCCAGAAAAAAAAAAAAAGGAAAAAAAAAAAAGAAAAAGGCAAGTTGTGAGCTCTCTATATGTCCAGGACAGTTCATGGTAGCTGTTTGAGCCAGTTTCCTGATGGGAGCCACTGACAAAAGCAAACAAACAAAATTATAAAACAACATTCCAGCTCCTTTGTACTAAGTACAATTTCCTCTTTTTGCACCTTTCCTGCACTGAGAACTGAGGAACAGCCATAGGACTTGTTTGTTTGCAGATGGAGCAATCCTGATATACATTTTCCCTGGAAGTTCCTGATGAAAAAACACATCAGACAGCTGAACAACACAGTCCAGCTTCTTCCCTCCTGGGCTGCATAATGGCTTGAGAAACCTTGGGTCAAGCAGCCCAGATTATTCCATTTACCCTGTTTCACACATTTGGCTCTCTGTTTGAAGAGATGTTACACTGCAAGCTGTTATCACCTGATTTCAAGTTTCTGGCAAATAGAGGCTTATGGTTTCCATACAAAGGCTCAGAGATGACTGTTCCTAGGAAGTTTATGAATTCCCAATTAAAAGTTTTCCCCAGAGCAGTTTAATCTTTGGCAATACCACTTTGGAAATCCCACTCTCCAAACCAAGGGGAGTATTTACAGGAAATAAACATTGCTGAATATCAGTACCAAGTGAATGAGAACATCCAGCCTGAAACTATTTCAAGGCTTACGTTTTGGTGTCTCTTAACAACAGAAAAGAGCTGTTACTAGATATAAAATTCCTACTTTCCAAAGAGTGGTCAATGTGGGCTTCCTCACCATTTTTTTCTGGAAGTTCACACCATTATCTCTAAAGTTCCATTAAAAAACCCAAAGTGACGTGAATCCTCTGGAACCTGTTCTACATTTCAAAAGCTGGAGCTCTGTGAGGTTTCCCTGAAAGCAGGAACCATGCGTAATTTTAAATTCGGCTGCCACTGGATGTCAGAGCATCCAAAGCCAGACCATTTCAGCAGAGGGAGAGCTGGCAATGATTTATCTGACCAGTTTGATGCACTGAGAAGTTTACTCTTGTGTAGCTGGGGTGGGGGGAGGAGAATAGTAATTAAAATCTCGCCCTCTGGCTAGTTTTGACTGTCCTTGATGTGATACATAGCATGAATAAATTCGTGCTAAAGTTATAATCTTGTCTGACAAAAAATCCTAGCATATTTCCAGTAAATTTCCCTGATGAGATTATAGTGATATGCAGCAAGACCAACATGAATATTTGTCTGCAAGGGGCATTTCCAAGAAACCTCCATCCAATAACATTATAACGATATGCACTCATAAATATTGGTCTGCAAGAAGTGTATTTCCAAGAAACCCGACAAAATTACAACATATACATCTGAAACAGCATGAATATTTGTCTGCAAGAAGTGTATTCCAAAGGACCCCTGAAAAGCCTGAAAACATACAAAAAGCACCTTGGGACAGTCGTAGTTTGTGAAGCATTGTGGAGAAGTGCTGTAGAAAGCCTCCTCCCTGTCTCACCCAGTGCTGTTCACCCGGCACAGCGCTGAACTGATTTTTGCTTATGGTTTCTTTTTACGATTGTATTTTGATTATAGAATAAATTTCTTCTTTTTATTAATCAAATTGGCTACTCATTTATAACACTTGAGAAGGACACCAAGCATCTCCTGCACCGACAGCGCTCAGACAGTCCCTGTAGGGCTGCAGAGCTCCTGGGGGTGGATGGCTCTGGTCCTGACCCCCCTGGCTGGAGGAATTTCGGTGCCCGATCTCTGGGACATGGCTCGGCTGGAACACCCATCTCGTCTCTCGGATGCCACGTGGGACCTGGCAGGTGAGCGCTGTCTCAGCCCATGTGGGTCTGTCGTACCTATAAAGATCACTGTGCCAGGCAAAGCGCTCCCGGGATCGGGATGAAATTCTGCCATGGTGATAAATAGTGTAACCTTCAGCACAGCTGCCAAATCCACTTGCCCACCAATTGTTGCCTTGACAGATGCGCTGTCCCTTCTCTTCGACTTGGCCCTGTCCAAAACATATACATGCTGGACCCACACAATCCTAGCACCTGAAAGGACCTATTTCCCTTCCAATCAAGGGAAGTATCTTTTCTCTATGTGTTTCATGGAGCATATGCACTCTTGTCCCCTCCCAGAGCTGGACCTCTCTGCCATCTGTGTTCTCACCCCACTTTTTCTTCCACCCAGGATCTATCCATGTCTCAAAGCCACTCTCAGCTTTCCCCTCAGACCCTGGACCCCTTTGTTTTCCTCCTGTGGCATTTTCTCTAGGAAGGTGGTTCCAATATTTTATGTTGAACCTTTTCTCATTCCTCAGCTTTTCCTGCCTATACATGACTCTCTGTTCTCTCACCAGCCCCTTGTGTTATACATTTTCTGGTACTAAATTATTAGTCTGTGAACCTGTTGTGAAAAATTTTTTATAAAAAACTGAAAAGGTTTAATAGAAAGACAATTAGGAGATAGAAATAAATAAAATGTACAAAATACAGCCAGGTGCCTCAGCATTCAGCCGAGGGCACACCTTACTAACAGAGGATTATCCCTTAAAAACAGAACTCTATTACATACATTCTCATACATAATTCAAACATTCCTCTTAAGTTTTAGATGTTTCTGTGTTTAGTCCCAACTTGCCACCTCCCCAACAGATCAATCTTAGCACTGCTGAGTTTCACACTCCCTGATAACAGAGGTGCAGTGAATTCCTCCTGTGGAGTTCTGGTCACTGCTGTCTTCATCTGGATAAGGTAATCTAAGAATGTAGGGAGGTTTCTGACGTTCTTTTTTAGTCTCTGGGTTATATAAACAAAAGTAGTTTTTACTTTAATACCATACCATAGCTTAACATATATATGTATTATACCACTATTTCTAAGTTACATCAATAACAGAAATAGAAGGAACTATATTAATACAACAAAGTTTTCTAACCTTATACATATAACATTCATTTTAATATTTGCAAAAAGCCAATAATATAATATGTATCTATAACACTGTGCATGCAGCACAGCTCAGAGTAACACCGTGGCAGTGTGCAAAGAGACTTTGCTGAATAGCTGTTCTTCAAGCTTCCTGACTCACCTGATGATGCACACCTGGGGCTGAGGGAATGGCCCTGTCCTGTCATTACAGTGCTCCCGGCCCTGTGATACACCGGTCAGTTCGGTGGGGGTGGTCTGCAAGGTACAGATCAGCTCTGTCCACATTCCTGCTCCTCTTTACATCCCTCTGGCAAAAATACAGCACAGCTGGGCCACAGCCCTTTGTTTTTGTCTGTGCTTGGTGCTGGGGATTCCTGGCCTTGCCTGGAGATCCCAGACCAAAGTGATCCACAGCAATGAGGGGAAAAGTGGGACTGGAACAATGCCTTGTGAGCTACCAACAAGATTTGGGTCTGCAGAAATACCCGGGGGAAAGTGAGGCAAGTGTGATTCAGGGCGTCAGGTACTATTCATGGACCTCTCCTGTTGAGTAAAATTGTCAAATTATTTTGTAAATTTCTATTTCTCTTAAGGACATAGATTTTGAAAGAACAGAGTCAGATTGTTGGAATAATTTCATCTAATTTCTGTAAATAAGTGACACATGGACAGTGTGATGTTGAAATGCTTCAAATAGGAGAGGAGCAGGTGAGGCTGTGGAGGATCCCAGCAGTATGCCATGAAACTTTACAATAAATGACAAATAACTTTGAAATGTGCCTCATTAGTGTGGGACTAACTGACTTATGTGCCCCCTCGACTGTATTGCTTGTTTAAGTTACTCTGCAGTCCCTCTATTTTATCAGCAATTCAAAACGTTACAGCCAGGAAAAGAAGGAGATGGATTTTCTTCCTTGTGTGGAGAATAGGTTGGGGCTTACAGCCCTCTCAGAGCCGCCTCAGACCTCCTGGAGCCCTTCCAGAGCAGTGGAGTCTTGTCAGAGTCTCTGGAGCCGTCAAACCCACTGGAGATCCCTCAGCGCTCTGTCAAACCCACTGCAGATCCCTCAGCGCTCTGTCAAACCCACTGCAGATCCCTCAGAGCTCTGTCAAACCCACTGCAGATCCCTCAGCGCTCTGTCAAACCCACTGCAGATCCCTCAGCGCTCTGTCAAACCCACTGCAGATCCCTCAGAGCTCTGTCAAACTCACTGCAGATCCCTCAGCGCTCTGTAAAACCCACTG